GTTGCAATGGTTAGTCATCAAATATTGTAACCATAAACCCCAACAGTTGCAATAATTAGTTACCGAAGGTTGTAATCATAAATCCAACAATTACAATGATTCATTTAAATGGTTGCAAATATTTATTTAAGCGGTCACAACAGTTCGTCAACGGTTACGACGGATTCTGTAGAGTCCCGACCCGATTTTCCTAAACAGCAATCGAAACAATACTACCTCGGTCACACCAAGACCGAACCTCAAGAATTTTTTGCCTTTTTCTCTATTTCCTCTCAGGGGTTCCATCCCACTAACAAACTAACAACTTAACTCGCTAAGCACAAAACCTTAATCTCATCTCAGATTAGTTCGTACCTTAGCCACTTGCAGATATCAGATGCATTATTGAAGTCACTCAGGTCCGCATGACCCCATGAGTGCCCTTCACTATCCCGGCTCTCAGCCACCATGTCAATAACATCACATAACCCCCTTGTTACCCAATCACTCAACCAAGCATCCCCACATGACCAAGTAACGAAGAGAGATATCTGGGCTTGCCAGATCATCATGGAATCCCATTTCCGGTCCTCACGACCACCAATAATCACAGTCACGATCTTCCCTGATCACCAGTAACACAGACATGATCCTTACGACCATCAGCAACCACAGCCACGATCCTCCTGATCGTCTGTAACCTTGTAACACATCACCCCTCCGTTACTCAGTCACTCAACCAACCATCCCCACATGACCAAGTAATGAAGAGGGATGGCTTGGATCATCTATCCCTTGCCCGTCCGGTCAGCCCAGTTCACGATCTCCCTAACCCTGTCCATAATCTCTCGATAGACTCTCTTGGCTGACCACTCATCCATAACATCTTCTCGGCACAATGCTCCCTTTGATGCATCACACGGAATATCGACTTTCTCTCGGTGAAAGATCGATCAGAACACGTTTCTCTCGGTGACAGTCCAGATATATCGGCGATCTCTTGGTGACAGTCCAGATCTCTCGGCGATCTCTCGGTGACAGTCCAGATCTCTCGGCGATCTCTCGGTGACAGTCCAGATCTCTCGCATCTCCCGACTATCGTCGTGATACTTCCAGCCATTCTTCTTCCTTGTCAGAGATCTCCGCTTTCTCCCGGATATGGCTTAACCGTTTCTCTCGGATATAATTACGATCTGATCCACCGACCATTTGCATCACCCAACTATCATCGCGAGACATCCGACCATTCCTATTTCTCTCCCGGATAACTTGCTCTTCCCTCGGCTACGTTGCCTTTCTCTCAGATAACATCCTTTATCCTGATCTTCTCTCGGATATGGTCACGGCTTAACCGTTTCTCTCGAATATAGTCACGATCTGATCCGCCGATCATTCGCATCACTTGACTATCATCGCGAGACATCCGACCATTCCTCTTTCTCTCCCGGGTAACTCAATCCACTCTCAGATTAAATCCCTTATCCCGATATTCACTCGGCGATGGTCACGTTTCTCCCGAACCTAGTCACGTCGCTTTGACAAGATTCACCTTGTTGCTGACTATCCTCGGATATAACCGGCCAACTCCGGCGATGACTCGACTGAAATCCAGATATCCTCTTTTATCCTGATCATCTCTGTTTCTCCCGGATGGTCTCCAATTTCTCTCTGGTAAATCCCTTTTTTTCCTGGACACAGCCGAACTTCTCTCAGATATGGTCGAAGCATTCCGGCTACGACTTGATTGGAATCTGGACATCATCTTTTTCTCTCGGTTACCTCCTAGGATACTCTGATTTCCGCGAGTAATCCTTCGATAAATCTCTCTCTCTCGCTCTATTGCTTCCCAAAATAATGCGGCTCCCTCATCAAGGTCTCTATAATCCCCTATTTATATGAAAACCCTAAGTGACCCAGCCTAAACCGATTTCTCTCGGTCACAGTAGGATTTCTCCTGGTCATCTTTACTTTCTCTCGGTTATCACCTTAACCGTTTGACCATAATAACGAGAAATCCTTTTCGCATCGGGAAACTTTAAGTTTTCTTCGACTAAACTCAAAATCCCACGGGCCTAGCCCTTTTCTCTCGATCACTTTTCCTTTTTCTTGGAGACTTTTCCTTTTTCCTGGTTACTTTTCTTTTTCTCTCGGACTGGATCATATTTCTCTCGGATATGGTCCATCCGACTCAGCTATCCCAGCCATCCATAGACTATTTTCCAGTTAAACAACCGATTATAGCCTTAACATCCTTGTCCCAGCCAATATTCGAACCTTGGCTCGATCATCCCGCAGACACTGTCCTGTCCACCTCGATCATTTTAATTTTCTCGGATACGAATGCTACTGATTCACTTAAATTTCCAACATAAAATGGTCGAAACTTTAAATTTGCCAATTGCCGCCTTTTCACATAGGGATTAAAAAATTACATTGTTTTATAATGCAAATGTTAGATTATCAGTTATGTTACCAAACTATGCCAAATAATCAAAATAAAATGAGATGTCGAGATTTAAGAGAATTTTTGCAACCGTTTTGATAAAATATTTCAACTGCTTTGGCGATGAATCATTGAAGAAGATAATAGTAATTGACAAATATTTCATATGTCTGTCTTTAATATAATGTTTAGAGATATATTAAATTTATATTATATACAAATTTTTTTTGGTCGGACATAATACATAAATGATAATAATATTTAAGATTTTAAATAAATCTATACGACAAACAACTTTATTTAGAATTGATTATCATTAGTACCTAGTTATAATACCATTAAATTTTATATTTACCTTTTTAACGAATATAATATGATTTTATAACTAATAGATATATAAATTAGTTAAGTTATTGTGTATATCTAAATTGTTCAAACGCAAACCTTAACCTCATGTTTTTTATATATATAAAAAAAAACTTAACCTCATGCTTGCAATAACATAATCAGAAGATACATAAATCATATTTAAAATTCTCAAAATATCATAAATGACATTATATTAACTTTGTAAGTGCAAATTTATTAAATAAGCAAAATAATTTTATTAGAATGTTGATGATTTATTTGCCTGCAATTTGAAAGTTGAGAATTTATTTATTATCTTTTATAGGAATAATGAGTGTTTAATAATTCAAACCATTTAGTCTTTCACCACGAATTATATAACGTATTTTAGAAAAATAACAATTAAAAAAATTAATAAAATTGAGCAAAAAATAAGTAAATTTAAGTAAAATATAAACAAAAATAAGCAAAATAATTGAAAAATTATTACATAGACGCTAACCAAGAAAATCTATTCACTTACATATTTCGTCCTTTAACATTTTCATTCCATCAATAAAAATTTTCGATAAATTTCCAATTTGGTGCATTTTCTCCCAGCGTTGCAATCTGCACATCGTGGTCGAAACAGTCATGGAACTATCTCCTATTCCAACATATCATCCTATTCAAATAACAAATTACTAGAGAGAGATAGCATGGAAATAAAAACTTTATTATAGACAAGTCTAGTATGATTATTTTCTCAATATTGGCGGATAAGAAAACAAATTTTTCATACCCACACAAATCCAATAACCTTAACCACTGTATGCAGAGCCCTAAAATCCCTACACCAGCTGTTAAACATCCTAGCTCTGACATATATTTTATTATACAAGAATATAATATAACTACTCCAAGAATAAATCTACACCTAGTAATTGAGTTTTTAGTACATCATGTACCTTATTGATGCATAAATTCTTATTGAGAAATTTTGAGCTAACAACCAATATATTTCAAGATATTTGCAAAATAATCCATGTTTAATTTTTTTTAAAAGTAACTTTTTCAACACTTATACCATTGGTATAATATAGTAAATAGATCAAATTTCAAAGATTTGTTTTTTAGCATATGCTATAGAAATATGATCGTAAGTCGTAAAGTAAACATATTTCTTCGAATATATTTTTATTTAAATAAATATATAATAAACTAGAAACATAAAACGAATAAAAATAAATTCTTCAAATTACCATCTTTGTAAAATTTTCTAAAATGAAACTTAAGATATTATAATAAACTAAGAAAAAATATACAAATCATATATATATATATATATATACATAAATTTAATGAATCCATATTTTAGATCAGGTTTCCAGATCTAAATGTCTTAGTGATCATTTAAATATTAAATCATGTGCTGTAAATAAAAATTTAGCTCAAAGAAAAGTTTTTATAATATATATTAGTATGTTTTAAGGACCATTTAAATAGTATAATTTCTAAAATATATCAGACTTATAATGTATGAATTTTGAAGTAACATTTTGCAAAATTTAGGCTTTTGTTACATAATATGTTTCAATGGATAAAGAAACATTTCATAATTTCATTCTAAACTTGACACATAAAAGAATATATTGGGAAAAAATATATTAGATCATGCTTATCATAAATATATATATATATATATATATATATGGGATACATAGAGATAATTTCAAATATTGAACAACAAGAACTACGATTAATATCACTGTCAAGAAAAGAAAAGCAATACAATTAATATTTCTGTCAAAGAAAGAAAAGAACTACAAATAAATTAGAACTTGTAAGAAAACATTTTTATAATTTTGTTTTCAAGAACATCATTTCTTGTGAATTTTTTTTGGAAATAAAATGTACATATGGCAGATTATTGTAAGAGATAAAATGATAATATCATCACTGTAAGAGATAAAACGATAATATCGCATTTCAAATATTATAACTTTTATATCTTGTATATTTAATATAGGATAACTATTGAAAGCTTGCACACAAAAAAAGATAACTATTGAAAGCTCCAGGTGGTAATAAATAAATTATAATACAGTAAAACTATATTTACCTTAGAATGAGTAAAATATTATAAATCAGAACGTTTCATTTCTCTATAAATACAAAATATATTTTTCATTTGACAACATCCGATATTTTTTATTTGTTAAAATTACTATTTGAAAATGGCGAGAAACAGAAGAGGTCGTCAAAAAGTACAGATGGTGAAAATGAAAACTGAGAGCAACCTTCAAATTACTTTTTCAAAAAGAAAACATGGTTTTTTTAAAAAAGCTAGTGAACTTTGTACCTTATGTGGTGTAGAAATGGGAGTAATTGTGTTTTTACTAGGTCGAAAAGCGTTTTCTTTTCGGAGCCCAGATGTTAAATCTGTAGTTGATAATTTCAAAAACTATATCTATAATCATGTTCGTTTTTTTAACGATGGTCCAAACGCAAATATCCAAGCTCTCAATAGCATATTCACCGAGGTAAACATCTATTGTTTTTCTTATTTTTAAATTTATTAAAACATATATAAGTACTCTCAATTTTCTTATTTTTTATCTATCAATTAATATATACATATAAGATATCTATACACACCACAATAATTTTTGTAGTGAATTGACAATACAAATAAAATCAACATTTAACAGCCCAATATATGTTAGTGATAGATGTATAAATATATAATTGGCATCATAATTAAACACATATTAGTATGCTCATTAATATAGTTCGATTATGTTGTTTCAAAAGTCTAAACATATAAACCACTTATTTCACTCCACAAAGTAATAAGAAGGCTCATTATTAAGGTAGGTTTAATTTTCCTTATTTCCATTTCCATTTATAAGTATGAATTGGTTACTCACACATGATAAGTTTAACTGTAGGAGTTGGCAAAGTTTGAAGTGGAGAAAGTAACGAAGAATTATTTGGATCAGATCAAAATTAGAAGAGATGAATTAGAGCAATGGTGGGAAAATCCTCTGAATCAACTTGACATACCTCAAACCACTTGTCTGATCAATGTTCTGGAAAATTTGAAAATGGAATTGGGAACTCAACAATCCCAAAACTTGCAAGCAATTGTTCCTCATGAGGATTCATGTTTGGTGGTGGCAATATCGATCATTTCGACCAAAAAGGAGTGTTCGATGTGAACGCATTCATCAATAATCCGAACATGGTTATTCCTAATGATGGACCAATGTTTGGATCTATTGATAACAACAATGCTTTGGAGGTGTTCAATCCGATACACAATATGAATTGGCCCGAATTCAACAACGGCCAATACTAAAATTCTTACGAAGGAAGATACAAGAAGAAACCTTACAGTTAGTATCAACATCATGTCATCATCCCAATCATATCTATAGTATTCATCACTTTTAGATGTGATTAAAATTATCGTTTTGATTGTATTGAGATTTGCTTTAGTTTGTTTCTTTTCATTTTCTTTTTGCTATTTTTGGTTTACTCAATATTATAATTTGTTGTTGTTTCGTTGTGTGTGTTAGCGAATAATTTATGAATAAATATAGTTCTGCATAATAATTTCATCTCCAAACTTTATTTATAATTTTTTTATGCGAACTAACAATAATAAAAATATATTATAATACAAATATATGATTAGTTAAAATAAATGATCAACATGCTTATTTTTTATAAGAAAATACGTATTTTTTAGAATTATAACTTTCTACTATTGTCTTTTCATTTTATACTAATTAAATCTTAATAAATAAAAAATTACGATGTGTACCAATACATTTTTTATAACAATAACGCTATATAGAAACAACTAGCTGTATACTATTTTCAGGAAAAATGTAAGAATGAAGAACAAATTTTTTTTTGATTATTTGCAACATAAGATACATAAATTGGATAGGCGAAAGTACTCCATAAATAGAATCAATAAAATATTTGTAATCGAAGATTGGAAGAAAAATAGACAACATTGAACATTAGAAGAGAAGATAATTTGTCATTTTAAGGGAGACACTTTCTATAATAAGTTTTGACATTCTGCTTTCTACTTGATTATTTTTATTATTTTTTGGTTATAATGCTATTTCTTACCTAATTAATCCCTATGCACTCAACCTAAAAGATAATAAATACTCACATATACTTAAGAATAAAACCAAATAAAATTAAAAAGATAAACACGACATAGGGATGAAATGCCAAAGAAAAATGAAGATTTATAAAAGCATATTGTTGTTGGCGAATGTTCAATGGCAAGTATAGATTTACAAATTCGTATACAGTAGATGTAAGCATATTTTTCCTTCGTCAAATAAATTCTTATCTCTACGATTAAATGAGATATCTATTTACATTCATGTGATACTTCCTTGGCTACTCATGCTCGAGCCTTGGTTTGACTATAGATTCGAATGCAGGACGTTTGTGAGGTATATACTCTGAGAAGCTTCAAAACTATATATGAAGAGAAAGTAAAGAGCTTTTTGGAAGAACATCTGCACACGGATGAAGAGATCCGATCGCATTGCAGGAAGTGGTACGTATACATTTTTATTGACTGCTTTTCTTGTTAAAAAAAGATATAATCCTCAATGTTTTATATCCTTGAGAAAAAGGTTACTTTAATATAGATATAGTCCTATATAGATAGTATTTGGGTTGTCTCTATCTCCGGAGATTGCGTAACATGTCTACTTAGATTGCTTCATAACAATTTCTCTAATAGTGTTGTTTTTTATATCTTGTATAAATCACTTGTTAATGTGTGTGTGTATTTGATGAGATGATGGATCATTCAATAGATACTGGCTTTCTAGACCCGGTTCTGGGCATGTGCTCAAGGAGCATTTGCACAAAGTCCATCTATTTTTTTGCAAATTTTAGATAGATTTAGGGCTTTTTTTTTGAAAAATTTAGAGCATTTTTTTTCAAATTTTGTTTGTTATATGTATAAAATGGCACTGAGTCTACTGAATATTTTGGTCGGGCCTGTTTTCAGCATGAGATGTATACTTGTCAAATTGAGTTAAATATCCATAACAATATTTTTTTATTATGATAGGGATTTTTTTTTCCTAAAACATTATAATTATTAAAAAAAAAGTCGAGTTCACCCTAGCATCTTCTCTCTCAGGCCCGAGCTCCGAGGTGCCGCCGCGAGGAGCCCAAGATGAGCTGCAGCCACTGCCAACCCCCCTCCTCCGCCCAGATCTCCACCTGAAGGTCGCTGCTCCCCCCTCTCGGAATCAAATAAGCCGAGCCAGAGTTTTTTGCCTTCACTTTCCACCGTGTTCGTCCCACTCCGCTGGCGGCGGGTTCTCCTCCCGATGATCCACCGCCGGAGCCCCCGGACCCCCCTCCCCCCCCTCGGACCCGTCAGTCACGTCATAGACCAATTTACCAAGGCCAGATCCAGTATACCTTTTCAAGTTTTCTTCTCAGTTAGCAAGAACGGTAAAAATTCAAGCTGAGGAGTCTTCTTTTTCTAGTAATTTTGCTTCTGTTCGTCTTTCTTCTTCCTTTGTGGAGAACTTTTACTCCTGTAGATATCTTTTACTCGTTTATGAAGAGTTCACTATTATCATCATGCGTTAGATTTGTGTTTCCAATTTCGTCCTCCTGCTTCATAGCATCTCCGGAGGTTGAACTAATTTTACTGGAAAAGTTATTGTCTTTAGTGGAACTGGTTTGGGTGGACTTTTTCTGTTCAGTCTTCTCCTTTATGGAGCCGTCTATTTTTCCAAAATTCTCACTTGTGATAAGTGAATTGGATGTTCAAAACTTACCGGTATTACAAGGATCTTCCTCCCGGTTTGTTGTTACTTCTGCCCTTGTTGCAGAGTGTAAAGCACCTCTGAGTGCTCTAGATGCATACAATCAAGAAGTTCTTAGGATCGTAGTTTACTTTCAATTCCTTTTGAGTTTTATTGATGAACAGTATTCTCAATCTATCTTTTGTTTAGCCTTTTTGTTTGGCAAACCATTTGGCATATTTGCTTCTTTTGTAAGTTCTCCTCCGATTACGGAGTTTGAGAATAGTTAATTTTAATGAAAGTATTTGACCAAAAAATGATAGAGATTATTATTGGCTGATCAGAGATTTGTACCGTTTGGTGTTGATGTGACTTGAAATAGAAACTAATTTGTATTATGATTCAACTGGATAAAAATAAACAACTGAAAACCAATATAGAATTTAAAAGTAGAGACTAGACTACATACTCGAAATTATAACCATAGACAAAGTATTGGAAGAAACACGTTGCCTCATCTCTCGAGATTACTTAACATTTCTACTTAGATTGCTTCAGAATATTTTCTCTAATAGTTGACGACTTTGAGTTCGCAGACGGTACGAATTCGGGAACCAATTCCATAACTCCGAAAGTAAGTAAGAGCTACTCACTAAAGCAGCCGACTGATTGATTAATTGATCCCAAAATAGCTTGATCGATTCCACCTTCAAAGATGATCACCCTTCCGTTCTTTTCGAGCTCAAACAGCTTCAGAGACTATCTCTCTCTCTCTCTCTCAAGTGTTTAAAGACCCAATCTTGATAGTTTCTCTTAAAGCCGAAGGAGATAAGACTTCTCGAGAAAGTGAGCAGGAATGGTCATTTCGGTTAAGTCTCTTCCGTTCGATTACTTCGGTATGTTCAATTCGGTTCGGTTCCAAACAAATATTCAATCAGAAAAAATAATTTTGATGAGGTTTCTGAACACTTTAACTTTTCATTTTTCTTCGGTTTAAGTTTATTTTGTTGGGAATTATTATATACACCGTGCTACCACCTAAAATTCAACCGAATTTCATTGCGTGTATTTTGTTTTGGTTCGGTTTGAAGCCGGTTTAGAAAGTACATGCAGCAACGGTAGCAGCTTTTTCTGCATCGCTGCTATAGAGAGATAAACTGAATGTAGTACTTTATTAGATAATGTGTATAGTATATATAGAAGAGTTGTAGTAGGGTATTTCCTATATAACTGAGTAATTACAAAGATCTCTATACGATATTCTATTCCTTAACACTCCCTCTCAAGATAAAGGTACATGAGTGAGTCCAATCCTGTTCCTGATATCTTGAAATTGAACCTGAGGTAGAGGTTTTGTCATTCCATCGGCAAGCTGATCTTTTGTGGATACATGAGCAACCCGTAACAATCCATTTTGTATCTGGCCACGCACTAAATGATAATCAATCACTATGTGTTTCATTCTTGAATGAAACACTGGGTTAGCGCATAAGTAAGTAGCCCCAATATTGTCGCAGTAGACTGTAGGCATTGACGGAAGGGTGACACCAAGCTCCGTCAAGAGTGAGCACACCCATCAAAGTTCGGCAGTTGTATTTGCAACTGCCCGGTATTCCGCTTCTGTTGAAGAACGAGCGACTCCCTGTTGCTTCTTTGAGGACCACGAGATTTGCTGATTCCCAAGATATAGAATATAACCATTAGTGGACACATAATCATCAGTGTCTCCTGCCCAATCGGTATCTGAAAACGCATGTAAGGTTGGGTTTTGTTGCTTGCAGAGCCGGATGCCATGAGAGAGTGTTCCAGAGAGGTATCGCAGGACCCTTTTAACCGCTTGCCAGTGATCCTCTGTGGGTCTATGCATAAATTGCGATAGGCGATTTACAGCATATGAAATGTCTGGCCGAGTCAGAGCAAGATACTGCATACTCCCCACAATGTGTCTGTATTCATGAGGATCAGGAAGGGTAATACCTGATTGAAGCGTGAGTTTCGGGGATGAAGCCATTGGTATTGCCACTGGTTTGACATTCAACATATTTGTGCGTGTAAGAAGATCAGAGATATACTTCCGCTGCATTAGATGCATACTCTGTTTGTTGCGACGAACTTTAATGCCCATAAAGTAACTGGGATGCCCCATGTCTTTGATTGAGAATTTGTAAGCAAGAGACTCAATAACACACTGAACAAGAGAAGTGCTTGTGCCCGTCACCTAGTAAATAGACAAAGTCCTTGCCTTGTTTGAAGATGAACAGCGATGTATTCGTTAGAGAGTTTCTGAAACCAGCAGAGAGCAAGAAGGTCTTGAGTTCAGAGTACCAGGCCCGCAGTGCCTATTTGAGGCCATAAATCGCCTTTCGGAGGCGACAAAGATGATTTGGTTGATCAGGATCAGTGAAGCT